GTTCTCGAAATCGGCTCCAGTCCGTAATTCGGAAGTTCCTGATTTTGTTGATAGAAGCATGGATTACAGTTTCAATAACATAATCGTCACTGCCGAGGTTCTCATGCAGGTTCGTCCACGTGGGTTGACCTGCCTTTCGAATCATCGTTAGATCAGGCGCGGTGTCAGTAACCGAGTTGCCTATTCGGGTGAGAGAGTTAGGGTTCGTTCAGAGTGTGAGTCTGTGTGCGTTTATTTGCAAAAACAAAGCAGTCCCTTTACAAGAGAAGTCTCTGTACCCGAAGTATTGATGCTGAGCGTTAACGTTCCCTGCAATGATTAGCATATGATCCCCTGCAATTTCGCTCGCTCTTTGAAAGAGAACTTCTGAAGTGGTCCAAGTGTTCTTGCATGTGCTGTATACAATAAAGATTAAGATTGAGTTAGGGATGAGTTCAATCAAATTGTATCCGTCTTTGAGGTCTGGGTGGGCGTCGTGGTGAACGTATGCGTATTTCTTCAAGATGAGTGTAGATATGCCTCGAGTGCCCACGCAATGATCCACTTCGGTGTGGTAGGAACGCAAAGCGGGTTCAGTGGTAAGCGTCTCTTCTAGTAGAATTACGGGAAGCTGGTCGGCAACGGATTTATTAAATTGTTGCAAGGCTGCCTTCCACTTTCGGAAGCTGATGCAATTCTTTTGCAAAATTACGAGATTGGTTGTGGGAGCCATTATTGCATCATGGGAGAAGGCGCGATTGGCGGCGCCGTGATCTGCCTTCCTTCTTTTAGCATTTGTAGCCGAGCGCGGCTTGGTTAGCTGTAGTTTATAGGGTGTGCAGCAAGATGGCAAGTTGGGCCAGTTGGATTACGTTCATAATTAAAATTTTGTTGAAGCGCATTAAAAAAACGGACGAACAGAAGAGGCTGACAAAGGTAAGCGCTGTCCTTGTCAGCCTCTTCTGTACATCCGTTTTTTTATTGCGCTTCAACAAAATGTTCAATTATAGGGGGTGATTTCTGCGAATATAGCTGTGCGAAATCGCTCAAGTATTTCGGTAAAGCTCGCTTTAGTTAGCGGTTCATCCTCTATGTTTTCAGCTACCCTGAGTTTCGCGGTGTGACCCATGGCTACTGCATTAGAATGAGCTGCAGCTGCAGAGGAGGCGGCCGGTGCGTCGGGTACCGGTCCGCTGACTGCGCATTCGTTCTGCTGTTGCATGTTTCGTGCGTCAGGTGCTGGTTCGGCGACTGCGCGTTCTCTCTCCTGCTTCATGTTTTGTAGAATTGTCCTAATCTCGCCGAGTTCTTTGCGAAGAAAGACTTTCTTGCGTTCTAATGTCTGTATTTTATCAGTTACTTGCTGTGGCAGTTGTCTCGCCTGTTCAGGGCAACAGGTCTCACCTTTATTGGCAACTCAGTCGGCCCAGGTGGTTTGCATCGTGCTTTTCGAAGTGGGTGGTTGGGTCTGGACCAGCTGCTTGGGCGTCGGCGTCGTGTGCTGCTGTTTGGTGGTCACTGGGTTGCCTTTGGTGGGTTGAGTGGTGTTGCGTCTGCAGCGTCTGTGGTGGCGTCGGACGACGTAGGGCACTTGATAGTGGTTTCGGCATGTGTGAGCGCCGCTAACGTGGCGCTTGACCTCACAATTCGTATTTCGGTTGAACCCACTCATATTCACTATGGGTGAGTTGAACACCACAATGCTCACAAACTTTTGCCGTCGGAGTCAGACACGCTTCCTTGCGGTGGCTGACGCGGCCGCAAATGCGACAATTGTGTATTTGTCTCTTCTATAGCGTGTAACGTAGCAGTAACGTATCACAGCACACGTAGTTCGGTACTTTCAGTCAATTGAATAGGAGAATCACAGCAGTCGTATTCTTGGTGCGGCGCATGCCGAGAAACATCGGGTTGTGCAGCGTCCGCAAGAGGCGTTGTAGTTCCGAGTCAGATAGGTCGGCTGCAACCCCTCGCACGACATCTCAGCTGATTATGCCGGGTGCGGTGACATAAGCAGAAACGGAGTAGCGTTGCTCCATGAGGGCAGTCTCACGCACGTTAGCATACGCCAACGTTGTTGGTACTCGGGGGACTTATAACGAAGACATTTTGCGTGTGGTTGGTACACACAATGTCTTCATCGGCAGCGGTTGGCGGGAGCTGTGCTGTGAGTAGTAGTGATTGTAAGAATTTGATCTTGTTGGACTTACGGACGCTGAGCCCTTCGCCCGGGCGGGCGACCACACGGCATTGATTAGCGGGTAGAGGTGGAGGCCGGGAGGCGGCTGCAACTTTCTTCAATGCTTCGGCATGTATACATGGCGCCGGCGATGTTTTCGAGTAGCTTGTAGCGAGCTTGCGGGGGGTTTCTCGTGAACAGTAATCCAGCCAGGTGCAATGGCTTCTTCTTCGGTGATCCCTTCTCCATGGTGGCCGCGCTGCGGCGGGAACGCCGGCACCGGATGAGGTGCGTAGTCAAGCTAGGCCGGCTCGAGGCCTAGCGAGTGCGATCAGAACGATGTTCCAAAAGAGGATGATAAGGGGGTCTACCGGGCTGGTTGTGCCCTAGAACTTGCCTAAGATGACCAGTGGATAATCTAGAAAGATTATCCACACTTGACCGATGAAATAAAAGCCGAAAGGTGGAGCTTATACGGAAGCATTCTCTCGTTTTGCCGCCCTCTAGCGGTCCTCACTTAAATGTAGTGCGGTAAGGCTTTGACACTTACCTATAGAAAGCTGCGCAGTGTCGCTGGCACAATGAAATGATTCTTCATACGCGGACAATAATACAGGCAGACTGCAAACACTCATATCGGCTTCTTCTCATTCATTTATTCCAACCAGGCACGCATTTAGTTCAACACCATCACCCTCCGGTCTGAATGGCTTATTGGTTTATCGGGCCTTTGCCGTTAATCTATTCAGCATTCTGAAGCAATTCATTCACTTACCACGTTTCCATAGTATGTTAACGTTCATAACATGTCCGTGTAACGTGTAGTCCAGCTTCTCTGCAATGACTCAGAGGCGAGAATTTCACCGGATGCATGCAATGATGTAGCTATGTTAGTGTGTATTGAAGCAGTGCAAGTATTGTGCAATAGATCATGCATCAGAAATGAGCCTGTATGATGTTACAATACAATTTCATTTTTTATGTTCTCAGCGACCACTCAAGAAGCCATGTACGTAGTCATAAATGTATAATTTAAGGGTAACAATGCTATAGGGTATAACAAGTTATAGCTTAGCGTTCGCGTAGTTTTGGAAAGCTTCTTGTCAGGCACCCTTCGCTCACATTATGTCGAACCGCACAAAAAAGGAAAAAACTAGAAGGACCAAGTGGTGCGCACCAAAATATCGACGATAAAAGGCATTATTCAGAAACTGCGGGATAGATAGCACCGCACTATCACGCTATAACAACGGTAGAAATTTACTTTACCCTTTTCCAATTTTGTACATATTCACCTAAAACATCTGTTAGTGAATAATGTGATCTAGCAACTGTGCCACCATACGCAAGAGACCCCTGGAGTTCTCACCGCTAGTATTCTTTTGTTTTATGCTATCAGCCTTTATTCGATGCGAAGTAACGTTTTGTCATTGTTTCGTAGAAGAAATATTTCACCCATAAAAGCTTCTTCTTTAAACTATCTTGAAATATTTCCAGAAAACAGCTCCGTGTAACTCAGTAGCTGTCCCTACCAAATAAAAGGAACAGGAAGTTTAAAGAACGAAAATAAAATAAGTTACTTGGTTTGCTTGAAACACATGAGACTCGGAGATGGCTACAGACAATATTAATGCATAAACATAAATTGTAACCAACTACAATATGTCTACAAAAATGCAGGAAGTTGTTGCAATGCGTACGACAATGTACAAATCATATATATGGCAACAATCAGTCGTCTTTTTCTTCCTTACCTTTCAACAACTGCCTAACTTAAATGAAAATAAGCTTGTCCTTAGTTATGAATCGTCGAAACAATATTTCCTAAGAGTAATGTAATAACACATGATAAGAGCTTCAATACTGACGCAAATGTGCTTTAAAAAACCCCGATTAACAACGAAGACACAGAATTTGTTCTACAGTTCATCTTCTGGATAGAATCACCTGTGCCCTCCATGACTGGTGGTTTTGTTCCAGTGGCGTAGCCAGGGGAAGGCGCATCAGGCCCGTGCCCCCTCCAAAAGTTTTTTTTTCGCCTAGCATACAAAGCGAAAAAATTATCCTTTCAAGGAGGTGCCACCCCTTCCAAGAAACAGAGAGCAACCCCCCCCCCCCCCCTAAAACAGTTTCTGTCCACGCGTCTGCTCTGTTTTCTGTAACCGTCGATGACACCCCGTGGAATCATCGTGGTGCATTGACAAGCGCGATGAGACTTCTATTACGAAAGTAACATCTAGAGAAAAGTTTTTTTTTCTATAGTAATGCCGAAGTTTTGCAGAATTTAGGCTGCCATAAAAAATATACTACACTATAAAAGCAATACGTAACACAGCAAGCAACGGGCGCTCCAATGACTCATATCTGTGTAAATGCCTAATTAGAGTAGGCGGGTTTGTTACGGTAATGTGTGATGTCAACGCTATATTCTTGAACCTGTCATTTGGAAGTTAAACAGAGGTTGTTCAATTTCGCAAGCACAGTGGAAGAATTACGGTTTTAGCAGCAATATAGTGTAGTACTAATAGCCGCATAATAATTATATGTGGTGTAGGAGCGTACATTAATATGTCTCAGTATATCACAGGTGTAAGTAACTGCACTATAGCCAATTAAGCAGGCTGTATATTAGCATCGTCTATATATAGCCTTTTTGATTTCACTTTTGTTTTTCTACGTATGCCCAGCATTACTATTTTCATCCACTGATAGCTCCAAACACTGTGCTTTGCTGACCCCCCCCCTCTTTTTTTTGCGTAGAACTAGCCAGTCATAAATTACATTACTCTACTACACCCAAGAGAGGACTTCACAAAGCTTTGTCATGTATTTTTTTTACCAGCACAGGCAACAAGTGGCGATCAAGAAGGAAGCTTCTCACTCCGGCATTCCATTTCCGCGTCCTCGACAGCTGCGTAGGTATATTCAACGAACAAGCCCGAGTATTGCTGCAGAAGATCAGAGACTCTTCGCAGTTAGACTTCGTCGACCTGTTTCCAATGATGACACACTGTACCCTGGACGTGCTCTGTGGTAATTTCTAACCTTATAAACTATGTCAGCGAATCATGATTGTAGTGAAAAAAATAACGGGGTTCAATGCACAAAAACAAAACGAAAATGTACTGTGGGGTTTCATGTGCCAAAACCAAGATAATATCAAGAGTTGTGCCATAGTAAATAACTCTGAATTATTTTTAACCACCTGTGATTTGTAAATGTGCAAACAAATGGACTTCTAGGGTGAACTTACCTCTTGATCCTATCTAAAAGTCATATCTACCCAGACGTGCACCATGGCACAATATCGAACGCGCTTTCTCTAGTTTATGGACGCAACAGAGAAGCCGCTTAACTATTAGGGCGGGTATATTTCATGGCGCGTAGAACCAGCGTAGTGCACCTGGTGCGTATTTAATAGTCAAATCAGTGTGCGAAAGCAAGCCTTTTCATAATTTAACGTTGATTTTTATTCAACCACTCACGTATATCTGCCTGCGGCTGTATAAGAAGTGACCATTTGTTACCGCTAAAGCAACTGTTGGTATCATAGTGAAGGACGCTGGTAATGCAATATGGTGTGACCGAACTCTGCGAATGTTACAAGACGGGCAATTTTCACCAGACAGTTTTATTGGGAAGACATGCGTTACAGTATTTTTTTACGTATACCATGTCATGTGCATACCTATTTACCTTGTTGTTGTTTACTTGTTGCTGTCTAGTTAAAAACGATAGAGGCTGGCATTCACACAAATCTCTTAGTCAAGAAATTTTCGTAAGAAGCACTTCTAGCCGATCCTATCACTAGACATATTAATTGCGAAGAAATTCAGTTGTTCGCAAGAATCCCTCATACAAAAGATAAGCTCTGTGAATTCGGCCAAGGATCGAGAAATAAGTACGTCTGCTTGTAGAGTGAAAAAGAAAAAAACTATTGATTTGGTACTGTGTGAGGCCACCTTATTAAGATAATTTGTTTTGACCTCAGAGAAGTGAGCAAATTCAAACAGGATTTATAGCTCTCGGTGAAAACATTTCAAGGGAGCGCTGTTTCTTTACGTTGGAAAGGATGAAATAAATGCATCCTGCAGGCATTGTTCGTGTAATCGTTACTACAAGGAGCCTGATGCTAGCCTTTCAGAAAGGATATCACAATACATTATATTTCAGAGCACGTTCCTTAAATGCCCGCATTCGGGCATATTTTATTGCAATACTTATTATTGCTTACAATTGCAAACATGCACAACACATTTGTTGAAGTTAAACATAACTTTGTTCTAGGCATAATTTACGTTGTATATTGCGAAATTCAGGGTACATGCTTCCGCACTGATGCCCAAAGCTGAATTACACGTGAGTATATACTAAGACCATGAGCATAATCACAGGTGAGCATAATTTATTTCCTGGCTTAGCTTGGATGTACAGGTGCCATTGTTTACCAAAAAAGTTGATTTAAAATTGTAAAAGAAAAAACACAGTGATACTACGCTGAGCAAACGAACATCAATTGATAGATCAGATTAGTTTTTGACAACGATGAATTGATAGTGGATCTGACCCTGTTCCGCGGCAACATATTCCATCCAAGCTTATTGAAGAAAAATACACAAACAAGTGTTATTAATAGCTGGTGAAGTAGCAAAGCTATTAGTTCAGTTTTTGCCATAACGAGAAAGTTTAAAAAGCCATACTTAAGTGTTAATAAAAGTTGTCTTATAATGAAATGTTGCAATTCAGTCGAATGGCCAACGTTTGAGAGGCTTAAAGTACTAAATACAGGACAGAATAGTTTCGTTAGTGAATTTAAAAAAAAAATATGGGAAGGCCAACGTACGCAGAAATAACACCAAAATATACAAGTGAAGCTTTTTGTTATATTTATATGAGAGAATCAAATCATTCTAACTGCAATAAACTTTTTTGTGTATGAGTGTCTTGTCTATTAGTGTGCGATAGTTCGACTACTAACTCGCCGGCTAGCAAAAACTAGCTCACTTAGTCGACCAGTCAACTTCACTAAACACATCTGAGTCGACAAAAAGAATTGAAATATATCTGAGTTCACAAAATGGAAAACGTCCCTAGCGTATGAACAGAGTTATATCGCGTTACGCTGCTGCGGCTAAAAGCCCCGCCGTGGTGGTGTGTTAAGGTACTCGTCTGCTAACACGCAGGTCGCGGGATTCAATCACGGCTGCGGCGGCTGCATTTTCGATGGAGGCGAAAATGCTGTAGGCCCATATGCTCAGATTTGAGTGCACGTTATAGAGCCCCAGGTGGTCGAAATTTCCGGAGCCCTCCACTATATACGGCGTCTCTCATATAGATATGGGTGTTTTAAGACGTTAAACCCCACAGATCAATAAATCACATCAATCAATGCTGCGGCTATCGAACATCATTTGCTGCAGATAAAAAGGACTAAAGCATCAATAGGCCGTGAAAGAACAACGTGGCTTAGCTTTTGCAATGCCTTGACACGTTTTTTTATCTATACCATGCATTTCATTGTCTCTCTTAGAATCATCAATGGGCATTCACCTGGGAGCGCAGGGGACCACTCAACATAGCTACGTTAAAAATCTGCACACGTAAGTAGAGCCAAAAGTTCTGCGTGTAAAAAAGTAATACTTAAACTAACTTTTCTGGTCTCGCTGCGGGCCTTTGCAGTCTGCTGAACTGTGGCATGGAGAGGCTGAGCAAGCCATGGTTGTGGTGGAACACGGTGTACAACCTTTCCAGCCAGAAGAGAAAATTTACGAAGGCTGCCAAGGATCTCAACAACTTTGTCAATGAGGTGCGCTCGTGGGCCATCCACACATTCATTTGGGATAAGCAATGGGTCACATTGACTGGTCTCTCTCTCATCGTGAGCGCAAAAGGGCATTTATAAAGGTCGTCATCGGCTACATAAATTGATAGGTGGTATAGACTATATATTGTGTACCTAATTAACCCTCGGAAATGTTCTCTTAAATTGTGCCACCCTTTGTAGGTTCGAGAGCGTGGCGTTTACGGACATACTTTTTATACCATCTGACACTCTTTGTTAATTTTTCAGTCGCAAAAGCAGGTTACTCTTTTTTTTTCTTTCTTTTTCTAGAATGTGCACGAGGTAAGGCGTATATGCTTTGCTTGAATAATGTGGTGCGTAATCTTCTTTAAACAAACCTCAATAAGCATTCCTATCTTCCCTGCTGTAAATTTGTATTTATAGTTTTAGACAAAGGAGCAACAGCACAATAACTTGTCAATTACAGAGCGAATTGCAGGTGACTATGAATGATGTTTTAGTTACGAAGTCTTTAGAAGCACGCCTATTATTTACATGTGGATTTCACCCACTTTGATACAGACAGGTTGAGGGTCTGACTTCTTTTATTACAAACTAATCTATTGAGTGGATGTTTCAATCGGTAATCGGCATGATCTGGTCAGAAGGAATTCTAATAAAAGAAAGACCCAGACGTGATTTATGTTGCGATAAAATTTGACCCCATTCCGGTTTCTCTTTTCGGTTAATCTTAAAAACAGCAATTCATCATGCAGTCATAAATTTTTGAGTGTGTCGTGCAGCCTTGCATTAAAGAATGAGCCAAACGTTGCCAAAATAAGTATCAGGAAATAATCACGTATTAAGCAAACAAATAAATTGAATTCACCCCCATCATTACGCCGTCAGACAGTACACACAAGTTTTCCTTTGTTTTGCGCTCCGAAAGAAGGTTTCATACTTTTTTAATCGTCAAGTTTAAATTACACGTGATAATGCTTTCGCTTCCTTATGAACGATGGACACTCCAAAGCCTCTTTCTTGTTTTTAATTCAGAAACGTCAATCTGCACAGAAGAGTTATGAGTGCTGCGCTATATCCGGCTGCACGTTCGATAGAAACGAAAACGGCACAGCTGCCACAACGAGATTGTAGATACCATATACACTCGCAAACAAAACCGAAACACTGAGAGTCTTCTGTCATTGCTCTTCTTCGTATGGTAGCCACTGTCAGCTGTAAGACAAGTACGAAACACTAAATTATAAAAGCTCGAACTACTTTTATTCATATGGTATTGTGAGTGAGATGCTTACATGCTTTGCGAGCAGTTATAGTCAACGAGAAACGCGTACGGAAGTAGAAGCTAGAAAACCGCAACACGTTGCCTTAAGCTCTCACTGTAGCCTCAATGCTGCACGCAACAGTTCTGAAGCATCCGAAAAGCACTGAAACTCAGCACATGGGAAGCAGTATGCCAATCATTGGGAACGAAGCTAATAGGCCAGAAGCCGCAAGTCTCTATATGACGTTTGGTAGAATATTGACGGGTTGAAATACCAACGTTCATCATGTTTTTGTTTGTAGCGTCATAACGGCGTAACTTTTACTCGAACACTTATATCAGCGCAAGCATTAGCTTTAGCGGCCAAATTGACAACGACACGAAGCGGTTATCACCAGCAACTACTTCTAGCCATTGTTACCATAAAAAAATAAAAAAGCAACATTTTAGTCTCTAAGTACTGTACGTACCCATTACAAATGTACAAGCGTAAGTCACACTATTGGCTTCATTTTGTGGTTGATTTACTTTACAGAGGCGCAATTTTACGACCAGCTTCTCGAAAACTTCTCTGAGATTGAGTCGCTGCTTTCATCTGTTTTTTTTAAGCAGTGCGCATTATTCTAATTTCGCTCGATTTTCTTTGTTCTATTTTACACTATTTAGGTGATCAGGAAGCGGAAAGAAATACTAAGACAAAAGGAAAATGGTGATAGAAAAAATCAAAACTCAAAATATTCGAACGCGTTTCTGGATGTTCTTCTGAAACACCACATGGAGGACTCTACCCTCTCAGAACAGGACATCATAGAAGAAGTGAACACGTTCCTCTTCGCGGTGAGTCAACATGTACGCTGACATAGTGATTTGATTTGAAATGTTGAGCAGGTACACGGTTGCAGAAGAAGTTCATCTAGTTACATTCATGTCCACAAATAAGGACTGCGTGACTTTCTTTTTGATTAGGTTCCGAGCACAAGCCGAAATAGAAAAAAATTGGCGCGACGATTTTTTTTTGCTTGTTGTGTTGAAGACTGCTTACAACATATTTGCCGATTTTTTTCATCTTTTCGAAGTACCAAAATGCCTGTGCTACAGGTTTTAATGAAAGAATTCCTAATAACTACCTCAGGTTCTTCAACACGAGCGTAAACATCTACGGAAAAACCCTTTACAATCTCCTCTTTTAAATGAACGCCTCCGATGTCGATAATACATGAGTTCTAGCTCAACGGCAAGCTATCGCAGACAGTGCGTAGGAGAGTTGTCTTGAAGGCAAACATCGACAAAGTTCTGTCTGTTTGGGAGCTTGCATGGGATCGCGTAAGCAAGGTTACTTGCTGGGTGCAACGGTGTCTTGTGCCCTTTGCGCTGATGTTCCAATCAGTTACCCATGGCGAAGGCACTAAGACCTATCCGCAAAAACCATGACCAGGGTTAAACAGGTGGCAGACGAGTTCCAAGCTAGCCAAAAAGCTAAAAAGAGGTTCACCAAAGGAAACAGCTGTCATCCAGCCAAACCTACAGAAAAATTAATTCGGATGACCGAGTGACTGCCTCGGAATGAGTTTGGTGCTGGGTTGGATTGCCGGATAAAGACAAATTTTCCGTTAAGCAGTGAGGATAGGCAGAATTAACAGAAGAAAGTGCCTCGGACAGACTGGCTGACGTTACGACAGGGGAAACTAGAGTTTCCAAAGGCGCCTTGTCATCCTTGGCGTGTTTCACAGCGTAAGTTGTTATGAGATCCTAACTCAGGTCAAGCGCAGTTCGCCACCGCCACCGCCAGTGTCCGGGACCACATCGCACTAAATTAGAAAAAATAAACCGAGCACCAGTGAGACAATGAGGCTCGAACCCGGGTATGCGATGTGCCGGCCCAGAATTTTACCACTGAGCTACGCCGGCGCCTGGGACTTCTTGGCAATCTTGCCTTAGGCAGGCATGATATCGGGAAAGCAAATGCGTTATTACGACTTATAAAAAGTTTTAAAAGAGCGAAAGAACAACCAGTTGTCCCTCAATGCGAATAGCGTAAAGAGTGGGTCGTGTGCTCCAACCCATTACAAAAGCTTTTTTTCTTGTTAGCATAATACCTGTGGCGCATACTCACTTCAGCCATAATTCATCATCATTGTCAGCCACTGCATGAACAACTGGAACAAAATTCCTTGCAGGTGTTTAGCGGATTACACGCTTCTCAGAAGAATGACGAAAATTAGCATAGCGAATGCCGGCGTATACTGCCCAAAAAATTAATATTAATGCCGTGGTGGCTATCAAGCAAGTGTGCTTGCAGTAGTTACCTAATGATTGTTTTTAAAAGACAGAGGCCGCCCTTCTGGTTTTCGCTGTGACCATGTCTGTGACTGTGCTGCGCCATCCGCGCAGGCCTAACATTTAGTTTTTTTTTTTACCAAATGGTGATCGCCAACAGCGACCCGCGCCACCACTGGACATGACGTCAACACTGAACCCCTAAACGTCAACACGCCAAAGATTACAAGGTGCATTCTACAGAGATGAGTCCAGCTCCTATCAAAACGTCGGCCAGCCGGTCTGAGGCACTTTCTCCTGTTCGTGTTTTCATTTCCGTCTGTAGGATCTCATCGGGACTTGATTTGAGAAGTTGCTTTAAGAAACACTGGCCCCGTATCTGCATGGTAATCGGCAAATTAGTCGAAAGACGATAGTCTTGCGTCTGGAGAGATTCAACAAAACGTTTATTTGATGTTCGGCGCAAGAAAATCGGTCAATGGTATTCTGGAGGCGCTGCGTTAGGCCGCGTTCACACTGAGCATTGCGGCCGTCGAAAGTGCTCCGAATCCGGATCGGCGGCGGCGAGATTCGCCGAAAGGGCCCTCTCCGCACTGATCGCTCTCGGACCAATTTTTGCGGCATCTGCCGCCGAATCGGTCACCGCGGACCAATAGGAGCGCTAGTCAAGGAATTTTGAAAAATGGCGGCCAAGCCCTACACACTTGTTATGCCGCAGTGCACGTAACTGAATGTTGAAACCAATGGAAGTTTAACCTTCTCTGTGCCTACTTCTCGTCCGTATTTCATGGAAGAGGTGACCGAGCTTGCTGTTGGCGTGACCGAGCTTGTTGCGGTCTCGCAGAGCAAAACTAATTCCCCAACGCTACTGCCATTGGTGGTTTTTTCTCCTCTTCGTGCATTACAAGACAGCCACTTGCCTGCAAAGTAAGCAGTACTGTCTTTTCTTGCTTCTTGCGTACGATAATCATCAAAGTATACACTACCGGATATCGTAGTGACGTTTGCGAGCCGTGACAACAACCGGGTGACAGCGCATCCATACCGCGTTCGCGCAGGGGTAGATGGCATATTCGGCGGCTCGGGGCGCGTCCAGTGCGAAGAACGCTGCGTTTCGGCGGCAGGGAAATTTCGGTCGCTGTAGAAAGCGGATGTTTCTGTGTGAACTAGGCTTTACAGTGCCTCGAGCATGCAGCGGAAGCGAACGAGCGCACCAAGTCACGTCACACGTGCAACAGGGGCGCTATCTGGCAGTTATCTTGGACATATATAAGTGGTTATAACAGAAGAAAAGAAAAAGAAAGGTGCCGACCCGTAACTGTCTCTCCTTACGAGGACACCTCAACAAGTCAGCAGAGGAATGGGATATGGGGAATAAAAGATATAGGGAAAAAGAAGGAGGGATAAAAAGAATAGAAGGAAAATAGATGGAGAAGAAGCCAGCCAACGAGAGAGAAAAAGAAGGAGATAGGAAAGTGGGGATCCGGTCGAAGCAGTCCAAGGGCGGGGTGCCACACTGCGAGAGCTGCACGGCTTCAGGAGACAGCGGAGGGCGAACCAGTCAGCGGGAGCTACGCTGAAGTCGGAGATCGCGAGGGCACAACCGTCCAGCTTGAAATCCTGCGAGCGAATCCCATCTTGGACAAGGAAACGCGCGGCTCTGAGACGGGCGTGCGTGCCCGTCTCAGAGGTGATAAGATGTAGAACACAAGCTAGGTGACGGGGAGGTGCCACCACCGTGTCGTCTTAGCAGAGCGTTTGAAATACTTCCCTTTTCGTGCAAGCGCTCGATGGTCAGCGCTGCGTGATAAACACTACGGTCCATGGAATAATTTACGCATGCCTTTTCTAGTAAAAGACGCGCATACCAAATATATAATTGTTGTTGTGGTGCCTCAGATATGCGCGATAATTGCTTTTTAATTGGCAATCAGACAAGTATGAATGCTCAACTTTGAACAATATTGGTGGGCGCTGCGGATGGGGTCGGCCATTTGGGATATCCTTTGACGCCGTTTAAAGTACCCGGTACCGTTAAGGGTAGACAGACAGACAAATGGACTGACAGACAGACCAATATTTTTGCGTTGAAGGTCCCCAATAAACACTATCGGCTTTAAAACTTTCTTTCAGAGAAACTTATCTCGTTTTTCTTTTGTAGCTTCATCTTTGCTATGGTGGGTGACAGCGTATCTTTGAATAACAGCAGCTGGTTGCTGCAGGTACATAGCGAGAATGGTAGGAAAGGGTCAAGAAAGACAGGAAGGCTAACCAGAATGAAATATCCGATTTGTGTCCTTACACCGGGGTAAGCAGAATACATCAACACTTCCTATGCAGGAGTTTTCAGCATAGCAAGTCACAGCTGCACGGTTACTAACATTCACTGTCGCAATACAAAATCTGCTTTACTAACTGTATGGTGAGCCTCCACGTTTTTTTTTAACATATTCACAGCGGTGGTCTATACCATACACCACCCGCGAGAAGCCTCCAAAGAGGCTGTTCCGGTAATAGGGAGAGTTTCATGGCATCCTAATCAGTGTGATTGCTTTATCTTGCTTGAGAAAAAATGTTAATTGAGAATAAATATATAAAAAGTAAATAAATGCAATTTTAGCAATATTTCTTTATTTAACGTGTCCATGAGCAACCGTGTGAAATACGCCCCGACAATGTATCGCGATCATTCTGTTTATTGAAAGGATTTGCACCGCAAGCACGAAAGTGCTGACTACCAACTGATTTGAAAACGTTCTGCACACGACACACATAATATATATATATATATATATATATATATATATAAACATTTAATCAAACAGACGTCATTCACTTGACAAACGAAGGCACAATGATAATAATCAAGACACTAAACCTCACGCTAGTTTTGGTTTCAACGAACACGCACGCTCGTAGCGGTTGCCGGGCATCCTCAGATCCGGTTGAACGGAGGGAATTTTGTGTGATTTTTTGCATTTATTGGTTTTCGCACGTTCTAACAAAAAAAAAAACTCCATACCTCTGTAAGGAGCTTCTTTTTTGTGAAGAGGTCTTTTATAATTCTTATTTCGCGAATTTAGAATCAGCCGAACCGCGGCAAGTGGTTGACTTGCATTAGTAGCACTTCCCCTATAGAGAACTTCTCTTTTGTTTATATGTCTTTTCTTATTCATTATTTCATGAATTTGAAATCAGGTGAATAGCGGGAAGTGTTTGATTTTCGTTCGCAGCACTTGCCTTCACTCATTCTCGCCCCTCGCTCAGCCATATAAGTTGAATCACGCTAAGTTATCTCGTTCGGTTGACGTGTCAACTACGGGAAGGATAAAGACAAAGTTGTGGTGGACAAAGAATGGAAGCCGCAGTGAGCTACGCCAAACAAGTGAAGCATGCATTCGTCGAAGACGGCTCAATCGAAAAACGCATGTTTTCCACGGCTCTGTGGTATGCTAACCCAAGTATTTCTAGTTCCGCGAACTTTTCAGCATTTTTTAAGGCAACGGGTGAGCACAAGAATTTGGACCCACTATTTGAGCAGGTATTTATATGGAATGAGT